TGGGAGTGTCCAGTGCCTTAACAACCATGCCACCTGCTGGTCCCCAGAAAGGTTCTCTTCTATGTCTGAGATTCTATTTTCTGTATGATTAGTCTGCTTTTAATACTTTCAAGGGAGATTTTTTGTTGTGGTTTTATGGCCTAGTCTTGGAGTTATGTAGCATCACTTCTGCCATACTTTGGATCAAAGCATTCTCAAGTCTACCGGATTGAAGAGGAAGAGAGTTAGACAATCTCTGAGTAGAGAAGTGGTTAAAAAATCACATTGTAGAAGCTGGTGTGGGATGAAAGATCCTGTTGTAACCATCTTGGTAAATAGATTCTGCCGTAATCAACAAAAGACAAGGTAAAAGCTGCAGGTGGAGTGCTAGTGCCCTCACTCGAAGTCTCTTCCCTTTGTGTGCACCTACATTACAGCGGCAACCACCTAGTTGATTTAATGAACTCCTTTCTCCAGTCCCCTTCATTTAATTATATTTTGTTTTTAGTCTAACCTCATAAACCGTCAACATGTCCAGGGTCTTTTAGACTGAATGAGGCTGGCCCCATAGTACAGTAGTTAAGTGCTATACACTGGGAGCTCGGTCCCACATGGCTGACTGCTATTCGAATCCCAGCCCTGGAGGCTCTAATAACAGGCCATGCACATGTGTGTGCATTCCCAAAATCCTGACAGGAAGGAGGTGTGGATTGAAAAGGATTGGAGTATAACCATGCCCACTGGGGGAGTGCTTTCACTCTCTGGTGAGTGTACATACTCTCTGGCAAAGAAAAAATATATAAACAACAACAAATGAAGGACTCTGAATGATTTTAGCTTTCTGTCATATCAGAGTCAGAGTTCTTTTTTATTTTTTATCATTATTTATACTGCCAGTTCACACCTATGTTTCCTGTCTCTTTTCTATTTGCATCTATCATATTCCATTATACATTTCTACTTACCTCTTTTTATTACCCCCATTCTGGTATACACATGCTTCTTCCTACTTTCATGTCATTTTTTTTTTCCTTTTTGCTATAGGGTATGTGTGCTCACCAGAGAGGGAGGGAGGGAGGGAGAGAGAGAGAGAGAGAGGGAGAGAGAGAGAGAGAGAGGGGGAGAGAGAGAGAGAGAAAGTAAGGAGAGAGAGAGAGAGAGAGAGAGAGAAAGTAAGTCAGAAAGCACCCCACTTCCTCCTGATGGCTAACCATGCCTCTATTCCTTCTCCTCTCAGGTTCTTGGGCATGCACACACATGCACCCTGCATGATTTTCAAGCTGCCAGGTTTAGGACTCAGACCACACAGTCAGCCGTATGGGATCCAGTGCCTTAACTTTCACATCCACCAGCTGGGCTACCTGTCATTTTTGATACACCCATTTCCTAGATTATTTTGTATTCCCTTCTGTTCAAGTTTTACTAACTTTTCAAAGCAGATGTTAAAGCATATCTGCTCCATGCAGTCTTCTTATCCTGGCCTATTTGGCTTATGTGGCTGACACTTCCTTGGTGTTTGGGTCTCCTTCTTTTCCTCTTGTGTGGACTTTATTTCCCTGAGTGTTTCATCTGTGTTGGGGGTTTCTCTGATGTATTTCAACAGAGGGATCCTGGATTTTCTCTGCCTTGCCATACTTCTGTTTGTTGACTGACTGGTGGTGGGAAGGGGCAGCATTTATTGAGTGCTGATTATAGGCCTGACTTTACACATACTAACTCATTAGCCCTGAAGACAGTCTTTCATAGTAACTTCTGTTCTTATCTTTATTTTACAGATGAGGAAACTGAGGTACTCAGAGGTTAAATATCCTACCAGTGCAGCAGAGCAGGCATGTAAGCCAACAGTCTGGCTCCAGAGCATACTTTTTTATCTCTGCTGCACTGGACTGCCTGGATATTCAAAAGGAATGCTTTTAAGAAGTGTATGATTCTTTAACAATGCTTGTTCAGATTTAGAGCGTGTGTTAACTTTGTTATAGAGCATTGACAGTTCTTTACACTATCGTTAACACACTAATCCCTTGTTACCTCTTCTCACAGGGTTATTAAATATCATTAATTTAGTTTAATAGAGCTGATAGGGACCAGCAGGTGGTGTGATGGTTAAAGGTGCTGGATTCTCACATGGCCAGCTGAGGTTCGAGTCCTGGCCCTAGCAGCTTGCTTTCTCTTTCCTTCTCTGGTCAAATAAAATAAGTACATAAATTATATAAAATGAAATAAATGATTCTTCAAAAGAAAATAGAGCTGATAAATCTTGCTTAGAGTGTTCTAACAAATCACCAGTATTAAAAAGTAATTGCCCCCAAATCATACTTACTAGGGAAAGGGAGCATGCGTCCTTCTAAACTTCAGTGTCACCAATTCTTCACTTAAAAAGAGGTTTATTTTCTAAAGTTCATTTTAAGTTGGCTCCCTGGAACTTTGTTTCCATGGGAGAATACATTATATTAAATTTAGTTTTTGGTCTCAGTCCGGGCCACAGTAAAACATTTAGTTTTACAAATGCGGTGACATCTAATATCAGGACTGTAAGAATTAAGTGACATTTGTTTGTTAACATACTCCCAATGTGGAGTGCTATGTAACACTGTTGTTACTCTGTTGTTAAAATTGGGAGTTCTACTTAGATATCAGGAACACGCAGCATTCTGTAGCAGACATGGGACCTTCCATCCCTTTCCTCTCTTCCTCACCTTCTTGCTGTCCACCTGAATGGAGGACTTCTTTAGCTCTGACCTCCTTGTTTGCCAGAAGTGCCCCTGTGAACTGCATGGCGGGCCTGTTGGTTAGGACCGAGGTGTGGAGGCTCCCAATGTTAAGGAATTCTGGAGGTGAGGGTTTTCTAGTCATACCTTCTTTTTCCGGGCAATCTCAAATAACACCTGCCTTTCTTTCTTTCCACTGCCGCTCCCGTTTGCATTGGTTTGCTTTGATGGAGAAGATGTGAACTATTATTTGAAAATAAACATTTGTGAAAATGTTCAGTTTACCCAGTAACTGGCAAGCAGACAGCTAACTGTCTAACAACCTTTAGGATAAGAAAAGGAGCACCATCAGAACTTAACAGCGCAGTCCCCAGCCTGGTCCTGCCCCAGCAGAGCTCCCTTCCCGCCCTCTGCTGGTGATCACTGCTACTCCTTCTGGGAAATAATTTATCATTTTGCCTTACAACTTTATCACTTAATAACATATCCCCACATTTACCTCTTCTTAACTATACATAAGTGAATCACACCAATTATATTCACTTGGGTTTTTTTGTCCAGTATGTTTTTAAGATTTATACACATTGTCACTTATGTAAGGATGTTTAAAAAGTTCATGAAAAATAGGATTAAAGTACAAATTTATTTTGGCATTAAAAAAAAGGAAATCATTGAATAGTTTGCTCATTATATGTATTTTCATGGATTTTTTGAAGACTGCTTGTAGTTCATTGTTGTTGATGTGTTGCATTCTGTTGTGTTAGTGGGTTAGGGCCACCACAACAAATACCAGACTATGTGGCTTAAGCAACAGAAATTAATTTTCTCACAGTTTTGGGGACTGCAAGACCGAGGTCAAGGTGTTGGTAGGAATGACTTCGTTCTAATACTTCTTTTGACTCATAGATGGCCATCTTCTTCCAGTGTCATCAAGCCATCTTTCCCCATAAGTATGTCTGAGTTTCCTAATCTCTCTCTCTAAGCTTATCATTTATCTCAGTGCCATGATCCACCACCAGACTTCACCAAGGCCCAGATCATGGGCAGGTATGTGCCTGGTGTACTCATGGAGACTTCTGGACTTGAAATGAGAACCTTCCCATAGTATTTTACCACTGCATTGTGGTCAAGTCCTTTCTAATCTCTTATAAAAACATCAGTCACATTGGAGAGGGCCCACCCACACGATGTCAGTTTACCTTAATTACCTCTTTAAACATGCTGTCTCCAAATACAGTTAAATTTTGAGGAACTAGTGGTTAGGACTTCAGCATAAGAATTTTGGGAGACACAATTTAGCTCATATCTGTTTTGTGATTATACCGCAATTTACTCATCAGATTACTTGATAGTTTTTTTAATTGTTTTCAGGTTATTGTGAACGATGTTACTGTGAATATTCTTATACATGTATGATGGTAACATTGCTTGAGTTCTTGTATACTGGGATGGATCATTTCATCCTAGGAGTGCGTTGCTAGGTCATGTTGCACCGCTGCAGGATTAGTAGACAGATCCTGTATGTTTTCCAAAGTGGCTGCTCTGATTAATCCTTCTGTCAGCAATGTATGAGAGTTCTTGTTATTTTGCCTCTTTCCAGCCTTTTAAATTCATATTAGTCTGTTGGTATGAAGTGCTGTCTCATTGGTTTAAATAGCATTCCTTTATTATTAAAGAATTGGGACATTGTCTCCTTTATTTATCGAACATTTGGGTTTTGTGATCTGTGTGTCTGAGTCTTTTGCCTGTTTTTCTATTGGGAGTCAACTTTTCTTAGTGATTTGTAGGAATTCTTTAAATACTCTGCTACAATACTTACATATTTTATAAATATCTTCTCAAACTCCGTAGCCTATTTTCACAGTATTTATAGTGTGTTTTGATGAATTGAAGTTCCTAATTTTAATGTGGACAGTTTATGGAATTTTTTTTATTGCTTTTTTGTTTGTCTGTCTTGAGAATATCTCCCTGGAGTCATTAAGGTATTTTCCTGTATTATCTTTTGCAATTCTTATAATTTCACATTTTATATTTAGATGTAATATATCTGGCACTGATTTTTGTGGACAGTTTAAGGTAGGGCCCAATTTATTTTTTTCCCTTTGGATTCTCAGTTTTCTGGCATCGTTAATTGAAAAGATACTCTTTTTCTCCACTGCCTGAAACACCTCTGTCTTAAGTGTCCAGAGGATATACTTAGATAGGCTTCTCGGCTCGCTATTCTGTATCATTGATCTGTTCATCTGTTTCACAAGGGTGTCACACTGATTTGAATCCTACTGCTTGGTATCATGAAATCTGCTAAGACATTCCTCTCACCTTGTTGGTCTTCCAGAATGTGTTGGTTATTCTTGGTTCTTTCACTTCCATGAACATTTCAGTATCTGCCTGTCAGGTTCCACAACCAGACTCGTTAGGAGGATCTTATTGGCATGCTTTGACTCTGTAAGATAAGTTGGAGGAGAATTATCAATGTCACAAAAGACAAAACAAAACGAAAAATAAATACTGCGGAGCTGTTTTTGATAAAACAAGACTAATGAGACAATACAGTGTGTGATGGTTTATGAAAGTTATAAAGCTCTGGGGCAATTCGATACTTTGAATTGTGTATTAGTTATACTAATATACCATTGTTAAATTTCCCAATCAGGATGCTATTTGCCTGAATGCCTTTATTCTTAGGAGATATGTGCTGAAGAATTCGAAGTGAGGTGTCAGGATGCCTACAGCCAGTGTTCAATGCAAAGGGAGTGGGAAGGAGGTAGCTCGCATGATAACGGCAAAGTGATACCACTTGATGAATCTTGGTGAAAGTTAAAATGGGTGTTCATTGATTTTTCTAGCAGTTTTAAAATTTTCAAAATAAAAGATGAGGGAAATTTAATTTAATTTTGTATTTCAGGAAACAGCTGTGTGTTTTCTCAGGGTACTTTTTTTAGGTAGATTTGCCACTAAAAGCAGTAGTGAAATGTCAGGCATGAATAGTAGTTCAAAAATTTCTCTAGTTTGGACCAGCATTTGGTGTGGTGGTTAAGCTTCTGGATAACCACACGACTGACTACAGTTTGAGTCCTGGACCTGGTGGCTTGAAAGTCATGCCAGTCTTGTGTGTATGTGCTCCAAAAAATCCCAGGAGGAGAATAGAGAAGAAACTGTAACGTGTTTATCCCCCACCCCGGGGTGTGTGTAGGGGGCGGGGAGGGTGATTTCTTACTTTCCTTCTCTCTTTCTTTGATGAATGTGTACACCCTATGGTGAAAATCTTTAAAAAAAAATTCCCTAATGTGTTTGAACTTAATACACATTTATATCATACTGAAACAGCACATACCTATGGACTAGTGTTTTAAGTAAAAAAATAAATTAATAAACCTTTTGTTCCACTTGCTATTTCTGTGACTTTTTTTAAAACTAGTAACACAAGTTCTGAAAACCTATATGATACTAAAAGGTGAGCAAAATGATTCAAAGGAGTTACACTCCATGCTGTCTAGTTTTATGAAACTAAGCTAATTTTTTTTACTAGAAGCATTTCTGTTGCTTGAATTACACAATGTTTATATATATATATTTTTTTTGAGAGTTATTTTTTCTTGGTATAGGGCACGTGCGCTTGCCAGACAGACAGAGCGAGACAGATAGACAGAAAGCGAGAAATCACCCCCCAGGGGGGATGGCCATGCCGCAATCCTTCTCCTCCATTCTCCTCTCAGGATCTTAGGCACGCACGCACACGTGCCCGGCGTGAGCTTAAGCCACTGGGTCTGGGACTTGAACTGCGGTCAGCTACGTGGGAGTCCAGCGACATAGCCATTACACTAACTGCTGGTCCCAAAAATGTTTATATTTTTCATAAAAGGATTTCAGATCCTTTGTTTTCAGAGCGGCTGTTCTTCCACTCTAAAGGAAAACTCTTGAGTTTTGTTTCAAGTTTTAGTCATGCAGCAAGGCACATACAGAGGAAGTTAGATGAAACCGTGAGCCATGCAATGACTCAGTAAACTTGTGGACTCACTCAGTTATTGGGTCTTCTTTGCATTGATCTTCCTTTCCCTGATTGTTAATATGTGATTTCATGGCAAAATGATTTGTAAAGTAAACATCTAACAACAGCAACAAAATCTTTTAACAGCAAAAGGAAGAGCTGAACTTCTGAAGATCAATCTTCGTGAGGTCGAATTAGATCCTGATATTCAGCTGGAAGATATAGCAGAGAAGATTGAGGGCTATTCTGGTGCTGACATAACTAATGTTTGCAGGTATATTTTTAATGATTTGTGATCTTGGATATTAGCTCTATATTTGAGAAGAGGACTGGTCTGAAAGTTGGTGTAATTAGCCCTTGACATGAAACAGCTTCCTGTTTCTTTTTAATGGTTTCCCATTTGTCTCATATTTTTTTCTGTATAACTTCATTGGTCATTGCTAGATGAACAGTTATAGAACAATATGGTCACTTATGTTTTGGAGCCTTTGATTTTTAAAAACTGCGTCTTAAGTTTATAATAATGATTTCAACTTCCTAAAACTAATTTAGCTCTATTTTGGAGTCTAACTCCATCCAAAAGGTAATATTATTTAGTTTTGTTTAGCATTATTCAATCACATGCTGATGAACAAAGATGATAAGGTTAATACATAGAACACACACACACACATGCACACACTCACATTTAAAAATTTCTCTTTCAATTTAGAAACATCATAAGGACTTTTTCTTTAGTTCTCATTTTTCTACCTATACTTAAATTAACTTCAGTAACCTTTCTTCAAAGCTGTAAAAGCTGTGTTTCTCTTTTTCTGCTAGTATTTTTCCTATGCATATCTAAATTTAATGGCACATAAAAAACTCATAGTTTCTACTATCATTGTTGGCTTGGTCTTCTTAGTATATTTTTGTAAAAATGAATCATCCATTTTTTTCTAAACCTTCATACTTACTAAAGGTTGGTCACATAGAGCTAAAAAGGGGGATCAGGAGAAGCCAAAGTTGGTATCTGTTGTCACCACCAGTGGTCCCTGTAGTGAATTCCATGTCCACTATATGTGTATAGATTCTTGTTGCAAAGAGAGAGATTCCTGGCTTTACTACCCCCAATTAGGCTATAAACAAACTGGTAAGTTTTTGAATTGTCTTAACCTAGCTGGATGATCATTTCCAAGTGTGCAATTCAGTATTTGAAAATTCTACTTTGGTTTTCTAAACTTCTTGGCTATCTTTGAAGAGCAGGTAGAGAAAAGAAAACATAGTACTATCTGAGCTCAACCTAGACTTTTAGGATTCATTATCTCTACATTTTATGTTTTAAGACCTTTTATATCTTGTTTTAATGTCTCCTGAACTCTCAGGATGTCTCATAAGGGGAAAATACTAAGCAACATAAAAACATATAAATGTTTTCCCATGTCCTTGTTACTATTGAAATTGTTTAAAATAAAACATTAGCAAACATTACTTTTGACTGATTTCTCTATATTTTTAGGGATGCCTCCTTAATGGCAATGAGACGGCGTATCAATGGGTTAAGTCCAGAAGAGATCCGTGCACTATCTAAAGAGGAGCTTCAGATGCCTGTTACCAAAGGAGACTTTGAATTGGCTCTCAAGAAAATTGCCAAGTCTGTCTCTGCTGCAGACTTGGAGAAGTATGAAAAATGGATGGTCGAATTTGGATCTGCTTGAATTCCTGTCAGCTTTCTCATTTCCGGCATTTATGTTTATAACACATGAAGAAATTCCTGCATTTTATTTTTAACAGGTTTGAAATGTTTCATTGGAGAGATTTTCTCTTAAAGGAAAAACAAATCTAAAACCATACAGAGAAGGAAAGCTTATAGAAAGAGCCCGATCGTCTCCCTCCCCTGTGTTGGCATTCCACAGCTCCCTGCGTTGATATTGCACACCCAAGCCAGTTGGTCCGGAAGGGCAAAAAAGTGAGCAGTGTGCAATCTTAGGAATTTGTATACAGAAGATTTAGAGAGACCTCTGTTTCTCACTTGCTTTCGTCATATTTTGGGCTTTTAAGTTCTTTGCTCTGTGAACATGAGGGGGACTTCTACATACGTTGGCTTTTAACTAAGTTTGCATCACATTCATTATGTCTTGTTAAGAGAACGATAGTACATTTTAGAGGAAATAATGAATTTGCTAGTTAAATCTTTAGAATTATTACTATTAGAGTGAATCATACATATGACTAGAATTCTTGCCCCCCTACCTCCACCATTTCCTCTATTAACTGTTTAATCACTTCTTGAGCTTTATCAAGGAATATCCTCATGTCCTGTGGTTTTGGAGTAATTTCGCCAGGTCATTTCTATGATCTTTAGTATTTTTTGCTGGTGCTTCTTATATTTCATACTGGAGAGGTGGAAAGAATATTATGATCGCATTAGATGCACTTCATTCTAGATTTATAAGTTTGTTTCCACTTTCAATATGTTCAAACAAATATGGCCATTATTTTCTACTGCTTCAACATTGTTTGATTTTTGTTGAATTAGTATTTGAGATAAGTACTTGGCATTCTAAACAAGTCCACTCTTTTATGGATAATGCAAAAGAAACAAAATATTCATAGTTTTCCAGATAGCTGAACAAAGCAATGCTGCCTATAATAAACAACGTTCATTTGAAAATTTAAAAATTCTTCCTTGCCTAGGTTGAGAGTTTGCACACACAGTGTGAGATGAGGATAGTAATCCAACGCACTCCGTTCAGCAGAAATTAGACAACAAGAAGGCAGAAACAGTAAATGGCAGATATCTGATCCAAGGACAAAGAATGTGTCCTCGTATTAGTATTTTTATAATTACATTTATCCCATTTTGATTATTAGGCAATCTGTGCTTCAGTGGTAAAATTTTAAAAAATTTGTATTTGATGACATTCTGAATTCTCCATTTTGGAAGCTCCTGCTGGTTTAAAAATAATAAAGCGTTTAGACACTTAAAAAAAATAAAACTCTTAGTACCCTTTTATGAGAAATCATTATTTCTTTCCCTTATAAATAAATGCCTTATGTTCTTTTCAGGTAACTTAAGGGCGACTCTGTTTAAATTCCTGTATTCATCTAATGCTATAAATTGCCCTTTTTCCTCTGAGACATAGAGGAAGACTTCAAATAATAAGGCATCATGATTTTATTGTAATTGAATTTACTTTAAAAATTGAAATAAGGGAAGTTTCCTTTGATTTGTGAACTTTTTTAAAAGAATTATTTAACTTTATTAATTTATTTACTTATTTAATTTGACCAGAGAGGGACAGAGTGAGCAAGAGAGAGAGGGAAAGTGAGAAAGCAAACCACCAGGTCTGGGACTTGAACCATGGTTGGCCACGGGGGAGTCCAGTACCCTTAACCACCACACCACCTACTGGACCTATTTATAAATTTTTAAAATAAAGGAATAAGTAATCTCCCTAAGATTATTTTACATACTATTGTTATCCAGTAATGAGGGGGGGGGTCAGTTGTTAATTGTGATTCTTTTTTTTTTTTTTAAGAGAGATATTTTTGCTTTATGGTGCATGTACTCGCCAGAGACACAGAGACGGAGAGATAAAAGGAAGATATCACCCCTTCGGTGATTGCCATGCCACAATCTCTTCTTCTCCAATATCCTCTTGGGATTTGGACACACACGCATGTACGCTCAGTGTGAGTTTTAAGCTGCCCAGTCTGGGTCTCGAACCGTGCTCGAGTGTTACATAGCTGTACAGCAACATAGCCGTTATGCAATCTATTGGTCCCAATTGTGATTCTTAAAACTTGTTTGTAATATTTCAGTAGGTTGGTTAGACCTTTTCTCGGTTTTGTGTTACTTTGGCATACGTTTAATTTTTTTCCTTCTTATTACCAGCTAACCAGTATTTGGTGAGTCAATCTTCCTGGAAGCTGTCTTTACTATATTGAGTGAGTCAGGTGTGCTTTTGTATTTCTCTTGTTTCTCATTTTGCTCTGCTAGTGGATAGTGAATATTTTATATATCTTAAACCCCTTAACGGGCCTTGAAGATATCTCTCAAGTGTTCATTTCTATCTAGTCTTTAATGTATAGACTGACTTTATTGTGTAAGGCAATGTCTTGCCTTACCCAGAATGAGATAGAATTGTTTTTTTTGCCCCTATGTAAAAATAACAGATGCATTATCAAAGTAGAAATAGTTTCTTTAATTCTTATGAAAACATAGTTTCTCTAATTCTATTTAAAACAGTATTTTGGGTCCTATAGCACAGTGATTTGGGATTAAGTTGTGCCTAATTCTGCTTTGCAGAAATCTGGTCAGATAATCCCTTACTGAGTAGACTGCTATTGGTTGCAGTCAGCAGGAGCTCTGTGGCTTTCAAAGCTAGATGAGATAGTACAGTTCCAACTTAGCACTTTCTGCACTTACTCTGTAATTTCTGACTTTGATGACTGAAGCAGGAGGGTAGATCATAGATGGAGAAACACAGTAATCTGTGTATGGTATGGAAAAATAATATACAAAAAGATTTTTCACTCTTTAAATCTGTTTTAAAGTTAAAACTGGTAGAAGCCAGCAGGTGGCGTAGTGGTTGAGGTGGTGGACTCCCACATGGTTGACCATGGTTTGAACCTCAGACCTGGTGGCTTGAAACATGCCAGCCACGTGTGCTTGCATGGCCAAAATCCCAAGAGGAGAACAGAGGAGAAGGGATTGTAGCGTAGCCATGCCCCTGAGGGTGGTTTCTCACTTTCACTCTTTCTGTCTCCCTCTGTGTCTCTAGCGAGTGCATGTGCTGTGTAGCAAAAATCTCTCTAAAAACTAAAAGTTAAAACTGGTATCCTTTTTTTGAATAGTATGACTACTATAGTTCTATTTTAATGAATTAGTTTTTATCATTTTCCAAGCCACATGCTTATTTTAACTATGTATACATGTAATATGATAATCATGTGTACATGTTACATGTTTATTGAAAACATTTTGCTCTTATAATTCCTTTTTTTTTTTTCAAGGAAATTACTGTTGGTGAAACCAGACAAATGGTTCCTTAATGGAGGCTACAACCTTCTAGTTCCCTAAGTAGAAAATAGATGATGGCATTACCGAATTATCTTCTAGGCAGTAGCAGTGTAGACACTGCAGAGTGACCAGAATGCATCTCATGTGCCAGCTCTCAGCACTGCCTTGGACACTAGGATGTCTTGGAAGAGAAACAAGCCATGGTCTAGCTGTAAAGCTAGCGGCTCCATTTGAGCTTCCAAGACTGCAGTTTCTGTGATGCGGTGTTTGTTTCTCAAAAACAATAGGCTGAGGGCACCAGCAGTTGTTGTAATGGCTATGTCAGTGGACTCCCATGCAGTCCACCCAGACCCAGTGACTTAAACCCACCATCCCGAGAGGAGAATGGAGGAGAAGGGATTGCGGTGTGGCCATCCCCCCAGGTGGTGATTTCTTGCTTTCTGCCTCTCTGTTTCTGGCAAATGCACGCTCCCTATAACAAAAACCTCTCAAAACAAAACAAAACAAACAAGAAAAAAACATTTCGCTGAAATCAGTAATTAGTCAAAAGGTGAACTTTCATAAGATAAATCAAGAGAAAATATGTACACAGTCCAGATTTACAGTATGATTGTCACTTTACTGTGTGTAGCCTAATTCTGTTAAACATGAAATTATTGACACTTATAGGTTTCACATAAAGCTTTTCTGCTGAATATGTGGTGAGGAGTGTAAAGCAGTAACCAGTTAACTTAGCTAGGTTTCACCACTCCCCCACCACCCCAACACACACATACACCCCCCAACTGAGGTACAGTGAAGGACTGGGCAGGTAATTCATGGTGTATGAGCGAGCGTTGACTCCTTTAGTATTGTCTTGGTTTTTGAGTTTTTTCTCTTTTTTTTTTTGCTTAGTAGCAGATGCCCATTCTTCCTTTTACTTTATTAATGGTAAGTCACCCTAGGATGTACTCTGTATGATAGGCATGATAAGAATGTATGCTGGCCTTTTCTAAGAAAAGACCACTGAATTATTTTAGGGGAAAAAAAATCCTAAATCTTAACTATTTTAACATTTTGTATTTTTATTTTGTTCCTTAACTGTTGTGATTGTATATTTTTTACATACCACTTAATTTGTGATGCACATAATATTTATGTGAATCTAAGAATCTGTCACACTAGAAGAAATAGGAATTGTACTTGAAGGACATGTTAGGACGATACAAATATTTAAACCTTATATGTTTTGCTCTTATTTCCACTAATTATGTTTGCAGAAGCAGTTAAAAACTGTTGTAATTACTGTACGTTTACTTATTTATACTTTTAAATTAGGCTTTTCATACTTATTTATTTAATTTTTTTGGACATTTGCTTTTAATATTGTTTCTTACTGTGAAAATTGTATGAATATTTTAAAAAATCAAATCCTTAAAGTAATAGCTATGTTTTTAAACATTCACCTCATTAACAATAATTGTTGAATTTTAGTTTTATTTTTTTTTTTTTTGGCTTCAGGCAACTCTTTGGCTTTAATGATATTTCTAAATTTTCAAGTGATTTGTTAATACAAGCAGGCAAAATGTTAAAGTAATGTCAAAAATTATTTTTATTTCTACCTTTATCATTCCTTGAGAAAACAAGTTAAAAATCTGGATACTACTTTATCACCAGCAGTATGTAGGTTTTTGTTCATTCAGAAATTATGCACAACCAATACAGAATTAATATACAAAAGTTGCCCTCCTATAAAAGGGCTCTCTCCTTTGACCTTTCTGTTTAAAATTATAAAATGCACTTTTACTTTACCGTCTCTGAAATGACTAAACTTTGCCCTTTGGAGCATCCGAATGGATGTTTGCACGTCTTCCCAGAGTCTACCTCAGTGAACTAGGTTTAGTTGTATGCGGGAATGAGCTGAGTTAAATTCAGTTCATCATCTATGCAGATGTGTTTCTTTAAACACTTCCTTCCATTCTCTTCTTGCCCTCTTCCCATTAACTTCTTTTTTTAACCCTGAAATTTTTATTTAAATTATTTTGTCTTTCTTTCTCTGGCAAATCCATGTATTCTGAATTAAGCTTCTGTGAAATGTATGAATAACTTATCCCCGTGTTTATTTGGATGTATTTCATTCTAAGGAGCAGTTTCAAACATAATATACATCCCATTATTTTTTCCTAACTTTGTGAATACAAACTGATGTGATATTAAAAATTTTGGAGCCTAACAGTTCCTGTGTCTGTTCTCTGAGAACCTAAGTACTTTCTGGATCATGCAGAAATGGCCAACTGTGTATTCATATGGTACAACCAAGGGAATCACCTTCAGTGACCATTGTTGTCGACACAGTGTGCAGTAGTATCACTGTATGTTATGATGATTTGTGTGTTGAGATTTTCGATTCAGTGTTTAGCCCTCAGTATTTGAGCCTAAAGAAAGACGTTTCTAAGTTGTATCTATTGAAACATATTTTCCTTACATTTTGTGCTGCTACTTTGCTAGTCTCATGAGCTGAAGTTCTGTTTGTGTGTAGGTTGTACTTCAGTAATAAATTTCTGGAGCGTCGGTGTTTTCTGTGTAGTTCATTTTTGATCCGCAGTCACTGGTACACTACTGCCACCACTGGGGAAACAGCCCTCACTGGCAAAGGATGACTTTCCTAGAGTTTTATTTCTCATACAGTCACTACTGTAAACTTGATGCTGTGTGTTTGCTGTATATTATACCAATAATTTCAAAGTTGATGCAGGTTAAGATAATTTTTCATGAATACTATATTTAATAAATATACATGTCTTATTTATATGGCACCATTGCAAAAATGGATGTTCTGTATGGTAAATTGTCTAGGTGACCAAGTCTTATAACATCCCTCCTCCAAACTATTTTTTTAATTAATAGATTTTATTTATTAGAGTAGTTTTAGGCTTAAGAGAAAAGTGAGCAGAAAGTGTGGTGCTCCATTGTACCCCCTCACCACTGCAACCCTCCTCCAGTTCCCCCT